CCGCCGGACGGTCGTCAGGAGGAGGCAACGGAGGAACAAACACAGGAGGAGACTGGGAGCGGACAGGAGGAGAGGAGGAAAGGCCAAGGGCCCGCAGGCCACTCACAGGTGGGAACAACTGCCGCTCCAGAGGAAGCTGCGGTGGCGGCTGCGGCTGCTGCTGCTGCAGCGGCGGCTGCGGCTGCTGCTGCTGCGGCTGCGGCTGCTGCTGCTGCGGCTGCGGCTGCTGCTGCTGCTGCTGCCGCTGCTGCTCCAGAAGGTCCAGCACCCGCAACTCCTGCCGCTCCTTCTCCAACCGCTCCTGCTCCTCACGCTCACGCCGACGGGCAACCTGGAGACGCGTGTCGTGGCGGTGGGGAGGCGGAGTGGATTCCGCAGAACCAGGGTCTCCAGCGTCAGTCTCCTCAGACTCAGCACCCCCAGAACCAGCACCTCCAGTGCCAGGACCTCCAACTCCAACACCCCCAGAACTAGCACCGCCACTGCCAGCACCGCCAACTCCAGCACCCCCAGAACTAGCACCTCCAGTGCCAGCACCTCCAGCTCCAGCACCCCCAGAGCCAGCGCCACCTGCGCCAGCACCTCTAGCTCCAGCACCCCGCGACCGAGCACCCCCAGACCGAGCACCGCCAGCGGCTGCACCTCCAGCTCCAACACCAACCGAGTCCACAGTAACCTGTCGCGGAAGTGCCGAAGGCTGCTGAAGGGACTGTGAGGAGGACTGCGGGGAGGGAGATGCTACCTGACGCGCGACTGAGGGTAGAGGGGTAGCGTGGGACACACCAGACGGGGCAGGACGAGGGGGGGGCGGGGGTACCGGAGGAGCAGGAGCAGGAGGAGGAGAGGGTGCTAGGAACAGGGGGGGAGGGGGTACCGGGAGACCTCGACAGGGGTACCGGGTGTAGTAGGACACAGACTCGTCAAACCGGACGTCACGGGAGTCTAGGAACTGGTGGAGGGGCGGGTGGTAAAAGGACCAGTCGGCAGAGTCCACTGGGAAACCAAGGAAGACACAGGGGACGGCGCGTGCTGAGAGCTTGTCCGCGGAGGTGTCGCGAACTTGTGCAAGGCAGCCCCAGACTTGAAAGGCCGACCCAACACCAGGGGAACCAGTCCAAAGACTGGTCGGTGAAGCCTCGGGCCGCGAGACACGCGGCTGGAGGTTCAGCTGGTGTGCGGCGTAGCGAACCGCGTGAGGCCACAGAAAATGGGGCGCACATGCATGGATCATGGACGTGCGGGCGATGTCCATGACCAAGCCAATGCGGCGCTCAGCAACCCCATTCTGCTGTGGGGACTCTGGCAGCGTCCAGGACAGGGTGATGCCCTGTTCGCCGCAGAATCCGCCGAGAATGCCGGAGCGAAACTCGCCCCCACGGTCGGAGTGAAGACAACTGACTCTACGACCACGAGTGCCCTCAGTGGCTAGAAGCCACCTGATCAGCGTAGCAGTCACCTCGGACTTCTTCGCAAGAGGGAACACTATGGTGTACCTGGAGTAGTCGTCGACGACCACCAGAAAGTAACGCTCTCTCCCAGACCCCTGCGTCGGGGCAGGGTCCCAGACGTCCAAGTGGAGAGTCTCGAAGGGAGCGGTGGCCGGACGAAGGGAGGAGGAGTGGGGAGTGGCGCGTAAGCGACCGGCGACGCACGGAGAGCAAGGAGGGGCAAGCGAGGGAGGGAGCGACGGGAAGGTGCGTGGGAGACCTGTGACAAGTCCCTGACTGAGCATGCCACTAAGGCGAGGGATCGACGGGTGGCCAAGGCGGTGGTGCCACAGGACGGTGCGGTGGGCGAGAGAGCGACAGGAGCAAGACGCAGCGACTAGACTGGACACAGCGACCGGACTGGACACGACTACCTGGCTAGACACAGCAACTGGACTGGGGACCTGGGCCGGAGGGGACGCAACGACCTGAGGGGAGGACGCGACCGGGGAGCGCTCGGTGTGGAGAACGTAGAGACCGGAGCGGGGCTCCCTGGTGAAAGTGGCCAGAACAGCACCTGTGGTAGCGTCAGTACAGACTGCAGTCCGCCCACCCCCCACGAAGGTAACCGTGATCCCCCTGTCTTGGAGGTATCCAAAACCCACCAAGTTCCGAGTGAACGAGGGGATGTGGAGGCCGCGTCCGAGTGAACGAGGGGATGTGGAGGCCGCGCAGGACACCAGAGGGGACCACAGGGCACGGGAGGGTGGTGGAGCTACGCGCAACGGCTGGTCCAGAGGTAGGATCAGCCAGAGCCACCGACACAGGGGTGAGGAGCGGCGTAAGGGTCGTGTGGTCGCGGAAGAAGCACTGAGACGCGCCCAAGTCCAGCGTGAACGACAGAGAGGCCTCAGCCGGAGGGTCACCTGACCCAGTCGCTACACAAGCACCTAGAGCAGCAACACAAGCACCTAAGCTAGACAGGCGCAAGGCTACACTAGCAGGAGGCAAGCAGGCGGACCTACGAACACGCGAGCACACAGACCCATCAGCACTAAAGTCAGCATCAACATACAAAGCATGCTGACGCGCATCGTCCATGGACAGATCAAAGACATCAATCTTACGGGCTAATAGACGAGACCAGCGAGGCGTGACCGCCAGAGGGCCCCAACGAGCCCGGTAGAGGTCGTCGAGGCGGCGGAAGCACCGCGCGGCAGAGTGGTCGTCGCGACCACAGAGACAGGGGCTGCCCGGCCCGGTGAGGCACCAGTGGGTGCAGGGGCCAGCGTCACGGCGAGGGGGGCGAGGGGCCCAGCTGGAAGAGCTGCTGCTGCGGCCGGTGCTCCCAGGGCCTCCCGGACCCCACTGCGGCGGGGGACCCCAGTGCTGCTACGGACCCCACTGCAGCGGGGGCCCCCACTGCTGGAACTGCTGCGGTGCCTGCTGCTGCTGCTGTCCCTGCTGCTGCTGCTGTCCCTGCTGTGGCTGGTGCTGCTGTGGCTGCTGCTGCTGGGGGGCAACGCCCCCACCGGTCGGGCCACCACCTGTGGGTGGGCCTGTCTGTCCTGCACCTCCTCCAAGGCCCCCTCCCCCTGGCGCACCACCGCCGCCGCCGCCGCCACCACCGCCGCTCCCACCTTCACCGCCACCTCCACCGCCACCTCCACCGCCCCCACCTCCCCCCTTCCCGCCCTTCTTGCCACTCTTGCCCCGTTTCTGCCAGTCTGCGGCAGAAACGGCAGCGGTGTCCTCAGAGACCGACACAGCAGCAGAAGCGCGGGTAGAGGTGAAAGTGGGAAGCTGAGGGGCGGCACACCCCGCAAAGAGACGGGGGGCCACCGCATCAGTGGCGGAGGCAACGGTGAGGAGGCTGCTCTCGATGGTCCCGAGAGCAGTCTGAAGGAGGTCTATAGTGAGCTCAGTGGGGTGCTTCTGAAGAAGCGCGTCGCGGGCAGTGGCAAGGCGGTCAGGGAGGCGGGTGACTAACCAGTGCACAGTGAGCCACATGGGGAGGGGGAGCAACGAGCTGTGCGTCGGTACAGGCAGCACGGAAACCGGCGTCAAGCGAGCGGAGGTGAGTCACTAGGTCGGAAACAGTCGCAAACGAGCCTAGGTCGGGAAACACAAACGGCATGAGGAGGCGACTGAGGGAGGCAGAGGAGGGGGTGGAGTAGCGGGCAACAATAGCATCCCACACCCCCTGGGCTGTCTCCACCTGGTCAAAGTGGGCGGCCTCGGTCGGGGGGGAGAAGCTCCGACAGTGTGAGAGCGGCGGCAGCGTCACGCGAGAGCCACACGTCCCTGGCCAGGACCCGACGGTCGTACTCCGCCTGGGCCGTAGGGGTCGGCTCTGGGGTGGTCGGCAGGGCGGCGGGGGACGGGGGGGCCTGTAGGGCACCAGACGCGTGAGCCCACAGAGTGGCACCGTCCTGTCGCTGGCTGGTGAGGAAACGTGTGGTCTGGCGCTGCCAGGTACCGAACTCGATCGGGCGTCCCTCAGCATCGAAACGGAGGCGACGGGCCTCCATAGCGGAGCCCATGCTAGTGGTGACTGGAGCACGGCGGAGGCGGAGCTAAGAACGAGGAGGAAAACTACGGAGGGCTAGGGACGCCAGCGGGGAAACCGACGAGAGACAGTCGGCGAGAAAATAGTCGTGGGGCGGGGCTCTAACCGAACCTAGGTGGCGCTACCGGAGGGAAGAGCGGCTGCCAGCCGCTGAGCCGGGAGTCAAGTGCAGTAGGAATGGCGTGGGACCGGGGCACAGGTGAAGGGGAGAGAGATGCAGTAAGCGCACAAAGGGATGCGGTAAGCGCACGCAGGTGTGCAGAAAGTGCACGCAGGTGGGCGGTAAGGGCACGCAGGTGTGCGGTAAGTGCACGCAGGTGGGCGGTAAGGGCACGCAGGTGTGCGGTAAGTGCACGCACGCAGGTGTGCGGTAAGTGCACGCAGGTGTGCGGTAAGTGCACGCAGGTGTGCTGGAAGTGCACGGACGCAGGTGTGCGGTAAGTGCACGCAGGTGTGCGGGAAGATTTACGGAGGAGGGCGCGCGACAGGCGGAGGGAAGGGCACGCGACGGTCTAAGGAGGGTGCGCGACGGTCGACGGAGGGCGCGCGACGGTCTAAGGAGGGCGCGCGACGGTCGAAGGAGGGCGCGCGACGGTTTAGGAGGGCGCGCAACGGTGGGAGAGGGCACGCGGTGGTCTAAGGAGGGCGCGCGACGGGCTTGACAGCGCGGGAGGGCGCGAGCTAGGCGCGCGGAGGGCGCGGAGGGCGCGGAGGGCGCGAGAGCACGGAGGGCGCGTAGGGCGCGGAGGCTAGCTAAGACCGAACGAGGATCTAACCTACTCGTGATACCATCTCAGAATAGGAATGCAACGGAATGATGAAACTAGGAAGTGTGGAAGTACAAATATGCAAACCTAACAACTGTACTCCCTATTGTGCTACTCACTGTAGCCTACAAGCATAGAATTACATTTGACACGCACTTGGATCTAGTTGGATGGCACTTTCGATGTTACAAGGCCGAATACAGGTCTACGTGCGTCAATGTTGCTTCAGGTGATGCTTCAGATGATACCTGATTGCTCCCCAGTAGAGTCCTCCTCCATGCTCTTAATAGCTTCCAACATTGCAGCCAAGTTATTGGGATACAATGTCCCACTTCGCATCCCCTCTGCTTGCTCATCCACCTTGACCGCTGCACTCAGCACCTCCTTCCCCACCACCTCGTGCCTGATTCCCTGCAGCTCGTTGGCAATGGTGGCTATGCTGGGCCGGCTTGCAGTGCGCTGCACAGTGCAGCGCAAAGCCAGCTGGGCCAGGCGCAGCACAGCATCATCCGGGGCGTCCATGTCCTGGTCCTTGAGGAGGGCCAGGTTGTTGGAGGAAACGCAATCCTCCACCTGACAGGTTGAACAAGGGGGTCGGGTCAGAAACAGGGAATGGCGCAGCACAGGATCATCTGGGGCGTCCATTCTGAGGTCTGGGCAGATTGAGTCGAGCAACAAGAGGCGGGCCGGGCTGTCAGAGGAAATGCAATATTTCACCTGATGGGTTGAACAATGTGGGTGGGGATGGGAGCAGGGACAGGGGATGGCGCAGCACAGCAACATCAGGGGCGTCCTTGAGGAGGGTTGGGTTGTTGGAGGAAACACAATCCACCACCTGACAGGAGGGTGTCTGACAGAGGGTAGCTGAGGCATGCCTGCACCTGACTGATTGAGCAAGGTGGGCGGGGATAAGGACATTTAGGCACTGTTGTACCAACGTGTCATTGTGCCATCATGCCTTCCTGCCATCATGTCATACTCATCGTGCCATCATGTTCTCGTGCCACCAACTTGCTTGCCTGAAAGCAGCAAGTGCTATGCTTCGCAGAGACTATTTGAGTATTTTACACAACAACCCTGTTGTTGCATACTCGCCACCAAGCAGAAACACCTACCTATTGCAGGTTGTGGTTGTGCAAGCTAACGACAAAGCGAACTTGAAAGTCACTACGTGTGCCGCAGATGAAGCAGCAATGCGGAGATCGTGGCTGTTCGCGCCACCAACTTAGGCAGAGTGCTGCTTGAACCAACCACACATGCCACAGTGACATTTCACATCTTTAACACAGCATACCCCACTGCACCGCACACAAAGCAGCAACACCTACCCATCGCAGAATGTGGCCGTTCTTTTCACCCTCTGAAGAGCGGGGGCTGCGACCAGTGATCACCACAAGCATGAGCACACCGAAGCTGCACACACAAAGAAGGGTAGAGGGTGGCAAGCAGTGCACAAGGATTTGCCACATTGTGAGTTTTTCACCAGCCTTATATGATGACAAAATCCACAAGCATCAGCAAAGCAAAGCAAGCACCCAGTCAGCACGATGAGCACAAGCATTAACAAACTGTCACGCATTGACTTATTATTATCTTTTATGCACATAGTAGCTGGATCGCATAGAGGTTTGTTAACAGTTGAAAAAACCTTTGCCTGCTCATAGTCCTATTTCACCTGATGACTACAGTTCCTTACCTGTACACATCGGTGGCAGTGGTGGCCTTGGACGTGCGTGAGTAGATGGGATCCACATAGCCCGGTGTTCCCATCACCCGAGTTGTGCCGACAGTGGTGCCCTCTCCCACCCTCAACAGCCCAAAGTCACCGATCTTGGCCTGATGGATGATGTAATAGTTGAATCAGGGAAATTCATGTCAGAAAATAAACGGGACAATGCCTTGTAGTTTTTATTTTGTTGAATTGGCATGTATGTTATGCTGAGTTGCATGCATTGTACTGAAGTTAGCGATGACACTTTTCACATGACAAGGTACATTAGAGTTGCTAGTATGATCAACAGAGAAGGCGAACAGGTGGAGAGGCTTGAGGGATGTGGTTGTGCTGACACGTAAAAAGAAAAAAACACGCCCTTTAAGCATACAGTGGTGACGGCTGTGCTTATGAAAAGAATTCAGTCGGTGCAAAGAACTAACTACTCCCTTCAACTCTTGTTCTTATGAAAATCTACACTTGCCTTCACATTTCAAATAATTTCCTCGAATCGATTATTGAGGTATAATCAATATAAGATTGACTTCCCATTGCACTCAACACACCATCCACTCTGTGTGTACTCTTAGGGTGTTTGCAAAGTGCTTGCTTGCCTGCATGTTTGCTTGAAAATGATGCTGGTGCATGTGATGTCTTGAGTCGACTGATAAACACACTTGTCTAGGTTGCATGTATAGTGTGCTTGCATAACACTTCTTGGATGTATAGGTTGCTTGCGTGGTTTTTTCCCCTGAGGTAAATGTTGGCGGTAGGCGTGAGCAAATAGTCAAAATTCGGAGCAGACCGAATAATACACACAGATTTATACATATATGTACATATATACATATATATACATTCAGGCGTGCTCGTGTTCAGGCTGCTCGGCGAGGACAGTGGGAGGCGCGCCTACTTGCACACTCAGATGCACTTCGAGTATGCTTGCTAGCCAACGATGTGTGAGTGAGGCGGTGACATGCTCATATGTTAGACTCAGAGAACCCCCACATATGTTGACAAGCCCACAATTTTGCACGAATGTCTTAAATTCTAACCACAGATGACTGTCCAATGTGGTCAAGCTAGCCATGCAATGTTAGCAACCATGGCCAATTCCATCGAGAGGGTGCGCGAGGTTCTGCATCTCGTGCGCAAGATGGCGTTGTGGGTGGGCTATTCGCCCCAGCGTGGAGCCTTGTTCTTGGGGATCCAGGAATTGTTGAAGACCAACATCTCACATCTGAAGCTGGTGCAGGGGAACCCAGTTCAGTGGAGCTCGACGCACGACATGGTCGACGATGAGTTGGTTCTTCCGAGGGCAGTTTTGAGGCGCCTCAAAAATAGCCTCAAAACGACTCAGTTTGGTGCAGCTCGACGTACGACATGGTCAAGCATGTGTTGGTTCTTCGGAGGGCGATCACACTTTACTTTGCCGAGGACCAGGTGCGTCATGAAGGTTGCCCGTGTGAGGTAGGATTCCCACCTAAACCCTGTTTTCCAAACCTTACACCGCTTTGTTGCCGAACAAGTTCGCAACCACGATCCAGGGTGCGAAACATTGTTTCGAATGAAACAAGTTCATCACTTCTCATTCTCCCAGCCTATTACCAGAGCTCGATGTGGGCGGAAAAGGAGAAGCTCGCCTTCACACGCTTTGAGCCTTGTCGCGTTATTAACACTTAGCTGGCAACTAAGTGTGAATTCCACAGCAGCCAAGGTGAGGGTGTGTGTACTAAATTTTATCGCTTTTGTACTCTAGTTTCATTTGTGTTCTTCGAGTGTATCGTACTGTACTGCAGAGCCGAGTAGCTGGGGAATTCGAGGTGGTTAGTGGGAGGCGAATTCAAGGTGGTTGGTGGAGGCGAATTCAATTCCAGCCTGTGAATTCAATTTCGAAGTCACCAGGCTGGAAGGCGAATTCAATGCCAGCCTGGGAATTCAATTCGAAGTCACCAGGCTGGAAGGCGGTGCATGCCTAGTGGGCCCAGTGGGAACCCAGCTAGCACCTTTGAGACCTCGCGAGCAGCTCGGCTGACTCGCTTGGTGCACAGGAGCTTGCTTGTGGAGGAAGCAACCTAGGCAGGAGGTGGGAATAGATGTAGGCAGGAGTAGCACTCGGGCTTCTTGCTTTTTGCTTGTATGTTTCTCTTTTACTGCAATTAAGCTTTCCTAATCCAGAGGGAACTAGCAGTTGGAGGAGCTATAAGCATTTTGACGGAGCCCCTGAGGGGGAGTGATATGCTTGCTACATACAAGCAAAAAGGTTGCTGACTGTCTAAAGTACAGGAGATCAGCTTGATGGCCTGGAGCCGCTCACGGTGATGTGCCGTGAGGAATGAGTAGGCACGATCAAGAACTTCACACTCATCAACTGCGCTCGGGACTTCGTTTCCCTGCAAGGCAATGGAGGGACAAGGTCTGCCAATCAGGACGCCTGGATTTCGGGCCGAGGAAGGCGACGCTAATGCTCGCGGGAGATCAGATCGAGAGAAGGAAGGCGGCAGGGAGAGTAGCCGCCCAGCTCTGCTTGTGATTCACCCGCTGGTGGGAGTGGAATCCGCCCTGTGGGAAGTGGATTTCGAGGAGGTACTCCTGCTCAGGGAGGGGAAGAGTATCGAGAAGAGCGTCACAGTCAGCGCGGGGAGGATGAGCATCACGAAGAAAGACGCAGCCAGAGAGGGGAAGAGGCGTACCACGGCTTCTCGGCTGGAAAATATGAAGCTATGGAGGCTGGGAGAGGTGGTCGGCCTGCGGAAAGCGGAGACCGAGGGACCACAAGCTGGGGAACAGGCCGCACGATGAGCGCAGCTCTGCCAAAGATTGAGGTGCCGGACCGTTTCTCGGGGACGCCAGGGGAGGAACCCACGCTCAAGAACTACCTGATGATGATAGACGACCTGCGGTACTTCGGAGTCGCTGCTAGCCTATTACAATAGACTGCTGGAGCTGGCGGAGGATATGGGGTGTATGGAGGAACGCCTCTTGGTGAATAAGTTTGTCAATGGGCCGGACAAGGACCTGCTAAGTGATATGAGGAGCCAACTATACGCCCTGGGAGTACGAGCGACGCTGCGGCAAGTGTACAAAGTGGCAAAGGAAGTGGAGGAAGGGAAGAGATTCTATGATGGCATGCAGGGGTCGAGTTCCAACTGGCCGAACGAGCGAAGGCGACCTGCCTGGGCAGCAGTGGAAGGCAGGGGAGAGGAAGAGCGGAAGGAAAGGCCGTCAGAAGATTCAAGACGCTACCATAAATGCGGAGAGCAAGGACATCTTCGAAGGGACTGTACCGTGGGGATAATATGCGACACCTGCGGGGCAAAGGGACATTTCAGGCGCGACTGCCCCAAGGCGCCGACCTGCACGGGATGTGGGAAGAATGGTCAGACCGAAGCTAGATGTTACAGCACGGGAGACAGGACGAGGGGGAAATCAGCGAGGGAGCTGCAGTTAGAACGGGAGTTGGCGAAACTAAAGGCTCAGTTGGAGAAATCAGAGATCAGTGAAGGCCCAGAGAAAGCTCTGCTGGCTTGGGAGGATGATGAAGGGGAAGACTATGATGAAGGGGAACCTGAATACGGGACCATGGCTATGCCACCAAGAGAGCGGGGAGATCTGGGGTTACGCAGCGGAGGGGTGGATGACAGAGCGGAGCAGAAACCACAGGAGCGAATAATTCCCAGGCGGCCGGAAGGGAAGGGAATGCTAGCACCGCATGACGTCACCCAGAGGAAAGGCTCGTCTGTCAGCCCACGGCCCTGGTGGTGGAACCGAAAGCAGTGGCAGTCAGGGGAATCTTAGTAGAGAACGCGGTGGTTGATACAGGAGCGCAGAGTGTCTTGATCGGGAGGAAGCTGACGGAACAGCTGCGAGCGCAAGGGAACCTAGAGACCGTGAGTAAGGGCATACTGATCATGACTGCAGAAGGCGGGGCTCCCAAGTGGATGCCGTGCACCCGAGATCTGATAGAGATAACCTTACAGCTGGGAGAGAAGGGAGAGACGACCATCAGGGTGCAGTGTGGGTTGAAAGAATCAGAAGACTACGATATTCTACTAGGAATGGAGCTTCTGTTTAAGATGGGCACTACTATTTGTACCTGGCAAGAGCAAGTGCTTTACCGTTCGGACTTTTGGGAGGAAGGAAAGGAGCTGAGTGAACTACCTGTACGGTTTGTCAAGAGAGAACCGAAGAAGGCATGGAGAGCAGAGGGACTGAGAAAGGACAGCTGGAGGAGTGGAAGTGCAGGGAAGAGTAAAGTCAGCGCTCACCTGGATCAGTATAGCGTTACATTAGTGGAGCTGTTCGGGGGAATAGGAGCGGGCTTGGCAGCAGCCTTGGAAGCAGGCCTGAGGGTGAAGAAGTGGGTATACGTAGAACTGGACCCAGAGGTGAGGAGGATGGCATGGAATCATGCTTAGATGTTACACCAGCGGTACCCTGCGCAGCTGACGAGGGAGGTACTACGGGAGGCTATGCAGAACAGGAAATGGGACGTGGAACAGATCACTAAGGAAGATGTGGACAGCTGGGGCAAGGTGGATTTGTTCGTGGCAGGTTGGGAATGTCAGGGTACTTCCCGAGCCGGAAAAGGGAAAGGTTTGCAGGACGAGCGCACGGCGATTGTGACCAAGCTACTCACTATTATGAAGTGGGTGAGAGAGGTAAACGGAGAATACGCTTACATCTTGGAGCATGTGGATATGAGGGGCGATGTACGCGAGCCGGTCAGGGCAGTAAGGGAGCTGGTGGAAGCAGAACTGGGAAAGGGAGTAAGCTGTGACGGTGCACAGCTGGGGGCACGCTGTTGTAGGGTGCGGAAGTACTGGCAGAATGTCTTGCCAGAATGTCTTGCCAGAAGGGGAACTGAGGGCTAGATTAGCAAGGGTGGAGAGAGACGAGAGCAAGATCGTGGAAGATATTCTAGAACCTGGGAGAGTGGCGGCACCAGTAGTAAAACCGGATCATCCGCGGCAGTACCAGTGCAACCGAGTGGGGGAAGCCCGGAGAGCTTGGCCGACACTAGTGGCCTACGCTAGGGCACGACGTTTCATTGAGGTGGACGGAATTCCGGGACCAGGGATGGTGTACGATCACCGGAAGAAGAGGTGGAGGAGTCGACGGCGTT